AGACAATAAAAAAATATTATTTCATCCCTTTGATATTTCATCTACATAATAAATCAGATAATTGATATGTTATACAGTGTAGAACAAAAATTATTTTTAGATTAAAATTTCAATTTGTACACCTGATCATAATAATGATGTAAACATGTATGTGATTAACCAAATTTGATTAATTACCTTTAACGAATATAAAAAATTATATATAAATAAGTTATACATTAATAAATAGATAAATAAGTTATACATTAATAAATAGATAAATATTTATTTCACAAACCATCTATACACTATTAACCTGACGCATTTCTTCTCGAATGCTCCGTAATATTTTATAATGATTAGCCAACTCTGTAGCACAATCTCCATCAGGGCGATAATAATATTCTATAAATTTTTTTTGTATGATGGTACATCTCGGATCTTTTTTCCAACCTCCCTTGCATGTTCGATTCTACTGATTGCATTGCATTTCCACAGCTCATAATAATTTAATGCAATGTTATCATCTAAATTGCATTCAGATTCAGGTTTTTGTTTAATTTTCATATATTCCTCATAATTTATTCTACAATATTTATTACTGGTACATGAAAATTTCCAGTGTCTCTCCATTCTTTTAATATACTCTCCAGTATGTACTAATTGGTTACAAGATAAACAAATAACAATTCCTATGCAAGGAGCATATGAGTTACCATCTGAAAATTGTATTAATTTTCTCGCTTTAAAATAATCTTTACTCTCATAAGGTAAAAGAACATTTTCTCTAAAATACTGTAAGCGATCCCAGATTCGTTCTTTCCACTCGCTAGGAGTTTCATTAGTGCGAACTTGTGGCATCCAGCAATATTCAGACCATTCTTCTTCACTACATTTAGAACCACGTAAATCCTGAATAGTAACCATTTTTATATGACTTATTTATCGATTATATGAATGTGATTATGTGATTTATAATGTATTAAGGGTTTTAGACATATTAATTTTATCAAGTATATGTTACTTAAAACGCGATTCATTTTTTGTGTAAATTCTAGTTGAATCATTTTTAGTAAAACGAGGAGGAACAAATCGAAAAAATATATTAATACACATAATTTTT